TTCTCCTGCCTCAGCCTCCTGAGTAGCTGGGATTACAGGCACGTACCACCAAGCCCAGCTAATTTTTTTTTATTTTTAGTAGAGACGGGGTTTCACCATTTTGACCAGGATGGTCTCGATCTCTTGACCTCGTGATCCACCCGCCTCGGCCTCCCAAAGTGCTGGGATTACAGGCTTGAGCCACCGTGCCTGGCCTGTTCTAATTATTTTATATTGACTCTGACTCATTAAATCTTCACAGGAACCTCACAAAGTAGGTATTATTATCTTTCATTTCCTCACATAAAGAAACTGCAACACAGCTGGGTTCAGACTTTCAGATCTCCTTGAAACATATATAAATAAGCATATATAAGGTTAAGACTTGCCCCAAATCACTCAAATAATGCCTCTCCTCTAATATCTTCTGATGGCTTTTCATGCCCACAGAATAAAACCTAAACTCCTAGCAAGACCTTCCATGAGCTGAACTTTACATCTTGTAACGCCCGCCCCCATCATCCCCCAAAAGACACAAACTTTTCCCCCAATCTCCAAGCACACTGTTCTTGTCCCCCACATCTTCTTGTCCCTTACATCTTCATTCCTTGGCCTTTTCCCGCCTAGTTTTCTGGTCCGACTTCTACCTATCCTTTAAGATTCAGTTCAAATGTCACTTTCCTTTTTTTTTTTTCGAGATGGAATCTCGCTCTGTCACCCAGGCTGGAGTGCAGCGGCGCTATCTTGGCTCACTGCAACCCCTGTCTCCTGGGTTCAAGCACTTGTCCTGCCTCAGCCTCCAGAGCGGCTGGGATTACAGGTTTCGGCCACCACGCCGGCTAATTTTTGTATTTTTAGTAGAGACGATGTTTCACCATGCTGGCCAGGATGGTCTTGAACTCCTGACCTCAGGTGATCTACCCACCTCGGCCTCCCAAAGTGCTGGATTACAGGTGTGAGCCACCGCACCCAGCCTCAAATGTCACTTTCAAATCAAAGCCTTCCCTGGCGTCTTCCCTGCTTTCTGGTGTTCCTGGTGTATCCTCACTGTTCCACAGTGGTCAATGGACTTGTGGTTACCCTAAGATCTCTCACTATATTGGAACCATTACTTTCCATTTTTGCCTTCACACCAGGCTCCAGGACTGGATTACGGAAACTGTGTCTTTCCCCTAGGGTTCATCATATTCATTCAGTGGTTATGGTGTACCTAGTGCTGTTTTAAGTATTCAGGATACATCTGTGAACCAAACATAATCAACCCTGCCCTCGGGAAGGCTCATCACCGAGCCTACTGATGAAGGAACAAATGAGAGGAGATGGAAACAAAATAGCATAAATAGAATTCACCTGAAAAGATGCCACTCTAGAGGGAAACTGTTGACAGGTAGGGAAAGTAGGACGCCCCACGGAGAAACCTGGAGGCGGAGGTTGCGGTCAACTCCGTCCTTATGACAGGCCAACTCAGCGGGCGCCCACCACGCTTGGCTCCAGTTCAATTAGCCACCATCTTTGGTCCACACCTCAGTGGGTTCCCTGGTGGCCCAACGTCTCCCTGTGTCTTCATACCTAAACTCGGGGCGGGGCGTCAGGTAAGATAAGTGTTACAGTCCCAGAAGCGAACTTCCAAGTCACCTCCGCCCAGTCGCACCCAAGGCATGCCCCTTCCGCTTTCCGGGAAAGCCAAGATGGCTCCCGGGGAGCCGTGGGCGAGGCCCCTAGAACTCACCTATTTTGAGTCCCCGCGCGCGCCACCAGTAACGGTCGCGACCCGGGTGGAGCGAGTGCGTGCGCCGAAAAAGAGCCGACTCGCTGATTGGCTTCTGCTGCTGTCTTTCATAGCCCTGCTGAGGGCTGCAGCCAGCCGAGCGGAGGCACACCCAGAGCCCCGCCCCCGCCCCGCCCCGCCCCGCCCCCTTACGGCTCAAAGGGGAGGGGTCTCCCAGGATGCTGAAATCAGTTAGATGAGACGGTAACTCAGGGCCGCTGTGCGCCCACAGAGTAGTGCGCGTCGATTGGGCAGCTCCAAGGGACAACCCACTCCCGCTTGCCCGCCTACCACCCACTTCCCGCGCAGATTTCCAAACCGCGACCAGAGAGTCTGGCGCCAGCTGCTGGCAACGGATAGAGGGCCTGTGCCATAGACGTCTGATGTGTTTGGCACGGCCAGAGCGCCCTTCCTCGGTCCTCCCAGACATGGTGACCGCTGACTCATGAGAAATGAAAGTGGGTTGCGGGTTGCAGTCGTGGCTGGAGGCTGTAGCTTGGAGAACAGCCCGTAGGCGTGGCATTTCACTCCTTGTTGCAATGGAATTTCATTTCCTTTTGATTTGGTTTGTAGTAGAAGTCATGTCATTTTTCCCTGGGAATTCATCTCTGGCGGACATTTTGAGATCATTTTCTTAAATCCAATTATCCTAAAGTAAAGATTTGTAGGCGAACAGAGAAAACTGGTTTGCTCTCTATCTTAAAGGCTGTCTTCACCTTTCGAGGGGCGAGGGAAGGATGATAAAATCACTGAGACGTTGTTTCGCTCTTGTTGCCCAGGCTGGAATGCAGTGGCGCGATCTCCGCTCACCGCAACCTCCGCCTCCCGGGTTCAAGCGATTTTCCTGCCTCAGCCTCCCGAGTAGCTGGGATTACAGGCATGCGCCACCACGCCCGGGTAATTTTAGTAGAGACGGGGTTTCTCCATGTTGGTCAGGCTGGTCTCGAACCCCCGACCTCAGGTGACCCCCGCCTTGGCCTCCCAAAGTGCTGGGATTACAGACGTGAGCCACGGCACCCGGCCCATTTTATTATCTCACAATATGACATTAAGAAAATGGTAACTGTAACATTTGTATAATTCATTAAGTCGGTCCGTTATCTCAATTCTTTGAGATAACATTCAAATAAGTAGATTTTACAAACGAGGAGTTGAATCCTTGCAAAGTTAAAGGACTTCCCTAGGTTCCTACAGAGACAAATTGAAACAGGTTATCGAATTCTATATTTTGGGTTATTTCTACTTCCACAAAATAACTGTTATTTCCCTAAAACATAAGTTACATTTTAAGTGGGTAGAGAGGGGTTTACACACGTTGATGTTCCCTTATTTAGAAGGCAACTTAGAAATACATTGATCTGTGTGTGATCGAATGTGAATTAACAATGACGTGAACTTGATATCACATTTCTGAGTGCTTACGACATTCTATTGACTGTATGCTTCTCACCAGACTGCAACATCCTGGAGGACAGGGAGCTAATTCTTAATCATTTTGTATCCCTAGTTCCTAATTTGGTGGATACATAGTATCTATCAAATAAGTGAATGTATCTCTGGGAAGCAGCAGATGGACTCTGTCTTGGGCCCATCCAATTTCCCCCCATCCATTACCTCTCCTTTTTCAATACTAGATCTTTTGCAGAGTTGCAATGGCGGCCACCTGGTCAGTGAGATCAGCGAATTGAAAAACCACTGACTTCATCAACGTGTCTAGAGAGGTAGGCTGAAAAAAAACTGAAAATCTATCAGGCATCTCATTCCATAGTTCCCTATTTGACAAGAACACCAAGGTGTCTTGAAATTCTGCCCTAAGGTCCAGATCTCCTACGTGGATGGAGACTTCTGGCTTCAGAAATCCCCGACGTCGGTTTCTCTAAACCATTCATTTTATTCTTTGAACATACTCTCCAGACATCTCTATCTTGAAAAGCCCTTGCTGCAATTTTGTTTCTCTTTCAAAACAATGACTCGAAAATTCCCAAGGAAATAGCAAGAGGGCAATTCCCTCCTTGCAGTGTTTGAGGGAGCAGAGGCTTACTGAAGTTCATGCCTTGGGTTACCAAGTGTCAGAGGTTGCAGACTACCTCGGTACCACACTTCTCCCAGTTTTCGCTGAGCTGAGCAATCCTGTCTTTCCCAGAGGTACTGCAGCCGGGAGCTTTCAGGGCGTGCCTACGCCACCACCCAACTTCTGGAACCCCAGATTTCTCAACTGCTGTATCCCCGAGAAGTGATCACTTTTTGTACAAAAACCTCAGGCAAAGAAGAAAGGAACCTTGCGCAAGGTCGTTTTTCATTTACAAAACAAAAACCGCACAAAAACCAAGCCGGTACCCACCCATTCGTCACATCATTTTGCAGCGTGGACAACAATAGGGGACTACAACTCCCAGAGAGGACTGCAGTCGTCCACTGGCTCAGAGGCCAATGGACGCCCGGTACATGACCGACATCGTCTAATCACGGCCAGGCTCGATGAGGCTTTGTCTCCCGACCGCGCGCGGGGCCGATTCTCCCGCCTCCCAGCCCCGGCGCACGCGCGCCCCGCCCAGCCTGCCTTCTCTCCGCGCCCTCCCCTCTCCTTTCTCCCTCTCAGAACCTTCCTGCCGCCGCGTTCGCACCTCGCTGCTCCAGCCTCTGGGGCGCATTCCAGCCTTCCAGCCTGCGACCAGCAGAGAAAAAAAATTACATATTTTTTTTGCCCCGTACATACCTTGAGGCGAGCAAAAAAATTAAATTTTAACCATGAGGGAAATCGTGCACATCCAGGCTGGTCAGTGTGGCAACCAGATCGGTGCCAAGGTAAGAATTTTACACCTCTTTTATTGCTTTTTAGAAGGAAAAATCCAGGTAAGTTATGAAAAAATGGTTGTGGGGCATTTGCACCCTTCATCCTTAATCAAGCCTTGCCCCTCCCAACCAAGTTTGTTACATTTATATACATAACAATTGTAGCTAGCATTCGCTTTTGGAAAGTTGGGAATCATTTTTCCTGGCAGACACATTTTGGAGAAACTAGCAAAAGAGCTCTTCGGGTTTCGGGGGCGGGAGGACCGAGGATCTGTGAGATTTTTTACTTAGAAGCGCTTCTAACGGTCCGAGAACCGGGCAGGGAGAGAGATGCGGAAATGGTCGGAGACAAAGCGGGGCGAGGTTTTGCCCATGTGCATCCCGCCCAACCCCCTTGCGGGGTTCGTGGGGCCAAACCGGAGCGGGTAGGGGCGAGGCAGTCGGGCGGCTGCGGAGAGCTCCAGTGCAAGGGTTGGGGGGCGACGCGCCGGGGGGGCTGCGCTGCGCGCTACTCTTCACAAAAGACCAGGGATCCCAGCACGCCCGCGACCCCTGAGAGCGGATCCTGTAGTTGTCCCTGGGTGGAAGGAGACCAAGAGCGGGATTAATTTTACTTGCTTTCATGGCCCCTAATAGAGACCATTTTAGGGCGTGAAGGGATATAGAGAGAAAATGGGGTGTGTGACTTTTTTTTTAATAAGTCCCTGAGGACTTAAGGGGAGAGAAAGAATGCACGAAATCAAGGGGGGAAAATCTAGCGAAGGAATAAAATTCGAGGCCAAGGGGAATTTTTTTTTTTTGCGCGCGGTTACAGTGTGGCGGGGGAGGGGCGGGAGGAAGTGCGGCTGCTACGTTGTAGCAGAAGGGCGGGGCCCTGCGGGGCGGGGCCGAGGCGCGCGCGGGGACAATGCGGTCCTGCCCGCCGGCGGGGGCGCGCTACCTTGAGCCCCGCCCCTCGTGCGCGGAATTCTTGCCCCTGGCCCCACCCACGTACGAAGCCTTTTGTCGGCGGCTGGACCTGCGCGTGCGCCGCAGTCACGTGGAGGGCGGGGGGGTGGGTGGTCGACTGCGGCAGCCGCTTTCTTCTCGGACCCCCCCACCCCCAGGCCTTTTGTGCGCGGCGCGGTGGGGCGGTGCCCAGCGCTGTGGAAGGAGAGCGGCGCTTATCCTAGTGTGGTCGACCTCCTTCCGCCCACCCGAGCGCTTAGGGCTGGCTGCACATATCTCACCCCAATCGGAGAAAGCTGTGACTTTCCCGAGGGAGCGAGTGTCTAGGGGAAGGGTGTGGCAGGCACACGGGATGCCAGGCCCTAGAACAACGGCCTGAGGGCGTGTGGAATTAAAATAGGAGGTGTGGGGCCGAGGCGGTCTGATCCTGGGCAACAAAGCGAGGACCCCCACCCCGTTTCTACAAAAAAATAAAAATTCATTGTGCGTGCTTGCGCGCGTCTGGGGTCCTAGCTAATCGAGAGGCTGAGGTGGGAGGATCGGTTGAGCTTGGCAGCTCCAGGCAGTCTTGGAGCTGTGATTGCGCCACTGCCCTGCAGGCTGAGCAACAGGAAGACCCTGCCTTAAAAATTATAAAAAGAGGCCGGGTGCGGTGGCTCACGCTTGTAATCTCAGCACTTTGAGAGGCCAAGACGGGCGGATCACGAGGTCAAGAGATCGAGACCATCCTGGCCAACGTGGTAAAACCCCCTCTCTACTAAAAATACAACAATTAGCTGGGCGTGGTGGCCTGTGCCTGTAGTCTCAGCTACTTGGGAGGCTGAGGCAGCAGAATCGCTTGAACCCAGGAGGCGGAGGTTGCAGTGAGCCAAGGTCTTGCCACTGTGCTCCAGCCTGTGTGACAGCAATACTCCGTCTCAAAAAAATAATAAAAGATGAAATAAAAAATGGTACTTGCGACATAGTTGGCTGGGACTTGAGCTGTTGTACTTTTTGCTCTCGCCCGGCAGTTCTGGGAGGTGATCAGTGATGAACATGGCATCGACCCCACTGGCACCTACCACGGGGACAGCGACCTGCAGCTGGACCGCATCTCCGTGTACTACAATGAAGCCACAGGTGAGGGCAGGAGCCCGGGCAGCTCGGGTTTCCTTCCCTGTCTCCCACTTCTCTGGAGTCTCTTTTCATTCTTGTGCACGCCTTACCCTCTGGGTGAATCTGTCATCCTTTCCCTTGAGTGAGCCACCGTCAGGGCCAGACGTCTGCTGCCACCTGGTGGCAGGACCTGGAATGACAGGTCTGGGATCCCTGCTGCCTCCCAGCCTCAGTATATTTATAAATCTTCTCTGCCAGATCTCACAGCTTTTACTTTATTTCCTATAGGTGGCAAATATGTTCCTCGTGCCATCCTGGTGGATCTAGAACCTGGGACCATGGACTCTGTTCGCTCAGGTCCTTTTGGCCAGATCTTTAGACCAGACAACTTTGTTTTTGGTGAGTTATACAGACAGTAGCAGATGATACACCATTGTGTTCAACTTATTTAGCTCCAAAGACAGAGCAAAAGTTAGGAAATGATTGTTGTACTGGCGTGCTAATACAGAACTGTGTTCTGAAATGTAATGGAGGGTAGAGGTAGTGACTGCTATTGCTGGTCAATTATGGGGCAGTAGGGGGAGAATACATCACAGAGAAGGAGAAAGAAGACACATCCAAGGGAATTAATTCCAAAAGCTGAAAGACGGAAACATGTATCTTCCATACCCTGTTAATTGAGCTTTTCTCCTGACTGCATTGCAGGTCAGTCTGGGGCAGGCAACAACTGGGCCAAAGGCCACTATACAGAAGGGGCCGAGCTGGTTGATTCTGTCCTGGATGTGGTCCGCAAGGAGGCTGAGAGCTGTGACTGCCTTCAGGGCTTCCAGCTGACCCACTCACTGGGCGGGGGCACAGGCTCTGGAATGGGCACTCTCCTTATCAGCAAGATCCGAGTAGAGTACCCTGATCGCATCATGAACACCTTCAGTGTGGTGCCTTCACCCAAAGTGTCTGACACCGTGGTCGAGCCCTACAATGCCACCCTCTCCGTCCATCAGTTGGTAGA